TACTAAAATATGTTTTTTGTCTACTTATCTATGAAGAATTTAACACAGAATTGTTTGTGATTAGAGATAGAAAAATTAAGTCTTGTCACAATTGGAAAATTGGACATGCTTTTAACTGTTCTATTAAATTTATCAAATTACCTAAGGGATTGCAGATTTAGATTTCAATGAACAGCTTTACTATCTAAGGCATCAGGAGTAAAGAACTCTTAATTAACTCAGAATACTAGGAGTTCTTTGAGTATAGAATAAAAGGATAGAAACATATAAGAAAGAATACAAAATCAATTTTCTAACATTTTTTATTGTAATTGAATTTTTTCTTTATAATTGTATTTAATTTTTTTCATTTTGTTAATTTTATAATTAATTGTTGTTATCTTTAGTTTAAAATATCTCAAATTTGATGTTTATCAACAAAGTGATTATTCAACAATTTCAATATCTTTATTACAACAAGTAACGATTGATACAATTGTCAAACATATATCAGGTTTGCCATTGCATAAACTATAGATGGAACGAAGTGAAAACAGGAACAAAAGGGATTCAATCAGCTGGTATGGCTCTTTCGAAATTAATTCAAAAGAATAGAAGATTGCTATACGCTCTAACTATTTGAGACCACATAAATATGTGGGTGCTGTGGGCACACTGGGGTATATATCAACAAATCGTGCATTACATATGAATTAAAAACTATCAGAAATTAATTAGGAAAAGTACAAATAGAGAGTTTGCATGCAACCGACAAACAAACAGGTATGCACACACACACAGAGAAACTTACCTTTTTAAATTCTACTCTAGGAGGAGGAGGCTCCTGGTAGAAGCTTGGCATTGGAGTTGCTTTAAATCCTAGACTTTTTCTAAGCATCTTAATCTCGGCTTCCTGGGTCTCCTATAAAAGAAGTTAAAGATTGATATGATTAAAAGGCAACATCTGCAAGTTACATTTCCACTAAGATATCAAATATTATCACCTTGGTTTTCGCTTGCAGGTTACTCTCCTCCACTTCCTTTGCGTGAATCTTTTCCTCAAGTTTAGTGTAGAACTGGCCACCATAATAACATTTTTTTTTTTTAAAACCGAGATTATTCAAAGAATGGCAGAAACAAGTAATAATTATATACCTCTCTTCTTCTCTCAGCTCGCTCATCACACTTGAAACTGAATCCATAATTTGGGAGCATCCCTACCCTGCGAGGTTTTGCATCTTCTGCAGTAGGACTTACAACAGGATTAAGGATAAAGCATAATCATACATTTTGTCACTCTCATAAAAATTATAATATAAATATAAAAAAATCCGCATCAGCTCTCCATTTCCAGTCGTGAGAAGAAAAAAATGCTCCGCCAGAAAATAAAAAAGGATACGAAGAAGATTCTGCTTCTTCTTGAAGATTAAGATTATCAGGGGGCCCTTTCTTTGATAATCGTGGTCTGTTCTTCTCCCTGTTTCCAATGAAATAAAGTCCACTCATCAACTAATGAAGATGAGGATTATTCATACCCAATCATTCTTCAACTAATATATGATGAAAAAACCAAAATAATTGAAATACATTGATGCTTCCGAAGGTGCCACGCTAGACTTCCCAGCATGCTGCAAGCATAAAATATAGGAACTATCAGAGTGCCAAAACTATAACTTCTTATAAATCAAAAACAAAATAATAAAAGAAGAAACCAAGGGCATATAACTATTTGAATTCCTGACCATCTATGAAAATTTTCATAAACAAACAAAGGTACTAAAAAGTTAGTTTACCTTCGACAGTCGAGCCTGCTTGTCCGTCAATGATCTATTTTTAATATGCTCTCTTGGGATGGAGTCCGAAGTAAAAGTACCATTGGAAACAGTAGATGCTACCTCTTCACCTTTTCCATCTTTGTTCTTTTTAATTGTACTTGCATGAACACCTCTGGGGCTTGGTGACTTTGCAATCTTACTCTTGAGAGAACCTTTTCCTGCTTTTGATTGCTCTGTCTGGTCTATGATTTCTGCTTCCTCTTCCTAGCATTGAGAAAATACATGAGATGAAATACTAAATCTGAATAGTATTAATGAGTTAATTAAACCAATTCAAGGGAATAAAAATCCTCTCACCTTAGAAATGGTGACATTGTTCACACATAAGTAGTCATCTGATCCTTCCTTGATTTCTGCCTTGGATGAGTAATCAGTTGCAGTGCTATCATACTGGATGAAATTTTCAGAAATTCCATTTGGAGCTTCAGTTTGTGCAATTTTAGTGACAGCAGGGTCTACATTTGAGGCAATACCATCCATTTCAGAGTTAGACAATTTGCCATTAACACCATTTTGGTAGACCTCTTCAAGTCCATTGCCTGGTAAAAGGTTGCTTGGATCCATCATTCAAGCCAAGCTACAATATTCATGAAACCAATGACCAGCTACTTAGAGATAGTTTAATACTAGTGAAAGGAAATAATTATAACCATACAAAACAAGATTGTTCATATGAAAAATTCATCATTTGTCCTGTAAGCCAGAATGGTTTCCCAAAAATATCTAGAAAATCCTCATAGACTTTTATTTTACTATCAAAAGAGATTGATTTCCATTTTCTAAAGACAAATTCACCAGCCTATGTATCCAAACGGAATGCAATTTACCCACTTGAAGAAAGAAAGACGAGAGTGACATGTTAAAACAGCATGCCTGTCAGGTGGTGCCATGAGTCACTTACCAGTCAAAAGGGTGAAAGCAACATAACATAAGATAAAATACAGTAATAAAGAATATAAACAGGGCACTTCAAAAGTATAGACATTAATGAATAATGTGGAACACACTAGGTCTAGGTAGATAATAGTATGCATCTAATCTCCACTTGGTGGCCAAGCTCATGAAGACAAACTATGAAACAGGAGCTAAATTGACTTGCTTCCAAAGCATTCTCTTAGGTCTTAGAAACCAAATGAAAAAAAGAAGTACTTAGCAATGAACTAACATCAACAAAATAAGTGCAGTTAACAGAGAAAATCAAATCAAGGGACAGTAAAACAAGCCAGATTAGCATTTTCCACTGCAACCCCATGCCCAAAAAAAAACCTTGATCCCAAAAAAGAAACATTTAGCAAAGCTCCATTTAGCCGCAGAATATAAATCAACAAGTACACTACCATCTAAACTCAAGCACAAGACTTAACATGAACAGAGAAACAAAAATGAGATTTTGATGTTTTCCCAGAAATTATTACCTGAGGGGTCAGCTTCAAGAGCCGAATGGCATCGTGGGTTCAGAGATCTGGGGAACGGGGGATCCGAATCCACCAACAAGATCCGAAAGATTCAAACTGTTGTAGAAGATGTTGGTGACGCTGATGCTTTATCTATTATTATTTTTTATTCATTCTTAAATATAAAATAAAATGAAGTGAAAATGAAAATAGGAGAGAAGGAAGAGAGTGTAAGGTTGAGAGTGAGAAGAGAAGTGTGGTGTAGGAGACAACGGTTTCATTTCAAATCCAAATGCTGAATTTCAATTTCCGGGTCAGGTCAAGTCGCTTTCTCTGAGGTACTCACATTTTACGGTTACATTACATTAAGTTATTTATTTGGTTTAGTTTAAAGCATTTAATCTTCTTGTAATCATGGAGTTTATTTTTTTGTACAGTATTTGAGTTCCTATATCTTTTTGCAGGATGAATTTTGTTAATAGGAACCTGAAAACGGTATAAAAATGAATCGATCACTTTAATTTAAAGAAATACGATAAAATTAAATTATATTTTTTAATATTTGTTTTATGATAAATAATATCAATGTATAAATATGTTATTATGTTAGAAAAATGTTCTTTATTAAGTTAAATTTTTTATTATTGTTGCATAATTATCTTGAAAAAAAGTAAGAGAATAATATAATATTGAATTGAATTGAGACATTGAGTTTGTCCTTAAAATACAGTATATTATATTTCTTAAATTCAAGCTTATCAAAAGTTTTTTTGGATCGTATAGATGAAATAAATTGGTTATGAACACTTGTAGTTGTAATAACGAGATAGTTATAATGTTTAAGATGTCTCTATAAACTAATATAGAGTTGCTTTATTTTGACCATCATTCTCAAGGTTTAAGTATTATATGTGAAAAAATATTTTGATAGCAAGGAAATAGAAGGAAAGAAAATTTTTAAGAGTGAAAATAATGTTGGCTTTAATTAAATAAAAATAAGGTTAAATTTTTTAGTACTTTTATTTTATTTCTCATAGATTTTTATTAATTTATATATAAAGAAAAAAAAAGACTATTTAAAATGTTTGCGTTCAGATAAAAAGAAAAGAAAAATAAAATAAAACAAGACTGACTGGAATAAATAATAGATAATGTGGGATAAATTAACAAGTGCCGTTTAATTAGATCGCTGCAAATTAGTCTAATATTATTATATTTTTTTTTATTTTTATATTTATCATTTAATCTTTGAACTTAAGTTATTCATGAAATTAACAATCTATTTTGTTACTAAACATAAGATATGTCTAGCATGCTTTTGAGTGGAGTATTTGTTTGATGGGTGAGAGTTTCAACTAGGGTCTTTGAGAATATTTGTTTTCTGGGTTATGTTTCGAGAAATAATATTTTCACCTCAAAATGTTTTTTGTTAAAATAAAAGTTTTAATACAATAAAAATATCATATTAACTCTGTTTTAATGTAATAAATAATTGAATTCTTTAAATTTCCCTCTTAAGGAATTATTCCTCTTAAATTATCCATAAAATAAGAAAAATATATAACTTATCCAAGTATGATTTTATCATTTAGAAACATATAAAAGAGGGCAAGACTTGAGAATATATATAATTTTTTAGTGTTTTTTCTCCTAAACGTGATGGTGAAGAAACAATCCTCCATACAAATTGTTAATATATACATATATATATATATATATATATATATATATGTATGTATATATATATATGTATGTATGTATATATATATATGTATGTATGTATGTTCTGATTGATTGTGTTTAAAGGAGGAACTGTGGTCATAAAAAAACTGTTCCATATGCCATGCCTTCACACTTTAAATTTAAACAACTTTTGCATGAAACTTATTGGCCGCCCTGCATGCAGATGCTTCATAGCAACTCTGCATAAACACTATTAGCAGGTCAATAAAACTGCAAGTTGCCCCTTCAGTGCAAGTTAGAACATTCAACTCCTGAATTACATGTTTTTCCACCTCACACCAGAATCAACCAGCTTGACATACGCATTTTTGAAATCTTCAAAGAACAGATTCTCACTGTCGGCGTATTTTTTAATCCATCTGTTCAATCAATGGAGTTGTTTTAGGTTATGCACACAATAAGAAACATATAATTAGCAGAAATTTAGACATGCAGTGCACCAGGATATGTAACGTGCAAGTGAATTTTTAGTAATCCATAATAAGATATAATAAAATGGTCCAGAAAAAAGTTTTTGTTAAAATCTTTCCCTCCAAATCACATGATTGATGGAAAATTTTATGGATCATACTGACTCTAGTTTACTTATATGACAACATTGTTTTTAGCACGTCGTTGTTTGCTCACATGGACAAAAAGGAATCAGAAATTAAATGAGTCCCTTGGCCAACAAACAACTATAATATAAGCATTTGAACAGAAACATGTAGGCTCGGGAACATGACCTAGGTATTAGAAAATTGACATTTTAGACTTCAAGTTTAGTATTTTGTGTAAACTCGTAATCCAGGGGCAAGGATCAGGTTTAAAAGGGCATGACAATATACGAATTATAGTATATCAGAAATCTAACTGACATAACTTATCCTTTACCAATTGATACGAAGATGTTACTTGTTTTCAATTGATGAATTATTTGCCTTACTTGTTATTTTCTTGAATTCTGAAAAATAAGTAAAAGAAACGTTTCTCATTTTCATTGTTTTATTGTTTCAGATAACTTAACATTAGGTGAAGTATTTAACACTTTTGAACTAAACTTTTAGTGCTTGGCCAGAAAAGGAAAAAAAGTGTGTGCCAATTTCATACAAGTGTAGCATAGGTTGTCAAGAGATACGGAACCTTAAGCATTCATCATCCTCAACAAGGGCGTGATCTGAAGGAAGGCCAATCATACTCGACATACCACCTGCATAAAAGAGAACAGAGGCAGTTGACAAATATAATAATTAAAAAAAAAATGATGAAAACAAACCAACAGACATGTTAGGTATATCCAGAAAAATGAGTGCAGAGCTGCCAATTTGGCCTGAACCGAGTTTACTCACACTACCAGATATTAATGTCATTTGTAGTAGTTTATAGAAAGACAAACTTGATGCCAAGAAACTGAAAAACTTGATTGGAACGTTAAGACCCAGAACAGACTAGACAGAAATAATGTCTTAATCCAGTCTCTAAGCCTAACAAAGTAACATGCATTCAACTCCAGCATTTCCTTATTGTTTGCTTCAGGAAACAATGATTGGTTGTAAGTTTACAGAACATACAAACACAATGTTTAGAGGAGATAAGCTTTACCTGAAGACGTCCATGGCTTTTCCAAAAGGACCTTATAATATGAATTATCAAAAGAATTTGGGCTTCCAAAACCTTTGCTTCCAATAGTATGGGCTCCGGATAATGCCACGAGTTCTTGTGTTCTATGGAAGAAAAACTCCAAGAGGATAAGGATACTTAAAATTAATTGAGGTAAAATACGTTGAAAAGTTTATATGATAACTGATAAACACACGATCAACGTTTTTTTGGTCAGTAAATAAAAAATCACTATATTTTTTGCCTTGTTAATCTGGTCTAGAGTTAAGACTTTATAAGATATAGTAATCAGTTTAACTCTGTAGTGTTAAGATTCTCGTGTAATGAGCAATCGGACAGCTTTTAGATGATGTATAGTTGCAAATAACACAAATACAAAGTCAATTATGAGTTTCCCTCATACTCACGATAAGCCTTTGCTCTGGAAACATTTCTTCAAACCAGAAGCATTAAGAGATTCCTCGGGGAGTCTCCCTTCTGGATCAGGCACCCTATCATTAAAATGAATACAAATATTATTTGATAGAAGACAAAAACGGGCTTCGTTATGTGAAAACCAATGAGTTAAATTCCCTTAGAAGATTTTATTTTTCCTTCCTCCAAAACGGTTGATTATTCTCATTAAACAACAGATTGAACATTATTCAATAATTGGATAAAAAATATTTTCAGAGAACCTAATCTAACAAAACTAACATTTAACTGCTTGTTTTCATCCTGTTGTGAAAAAACCAGTTTCTTGTCACGCAGTTCAAACTAACAAGAGTACAATATACTAGAAACCTGGCCTCTTACAGTGCATCTAGTCTGCCCAGTGAAACTTGGATAGGTGGACCTCCACATACTTCAACTGCTTCAGCTCCAGCCACAGCAATCATGTCCGCCCAAGATACTAAGAAAGGTATATGAAAACGTGTTGGTCTACACCAAATTATCACTTACTATTAGCAGCAGTTATCAGATAGAAGAAGGACCTGGTTGGATGGCATCTATCTGAGTCTTTGCTTTTTGCAGTACCTAAAAAATATACATCCACTTAGATATTAGCTGGCAGTTAAATGTAGGATAAGATATTTATCTTAATGATAAAGTAATTTAGACTATAGACATACTATCATGTGGAATTCTTCAAATAATAATAGAAGGAGCGGTGATAGAAAGGAATAAAAAAATAGTGAAACAGAGCAATGCCTTTACTGATTTTTTCAGGCCGGCATTTTCGGGTCTTTCAAGTTCATAGACTATAGAACCATTCATACCACCTGCAACAGAATGGAAAGGGCATAAATATACACACACATTTTAAAATTGATAAGAATAAGGAAATTGACGTTACAGGTGATGATGACACTATCACCAAGAAAACATAATAAGAGAACGCGTAGTTTCCTTTTTAATTTCTTAGCTCATGCCTTGCGAAAGCTTACTAAGCAAATTCAATCGATGAGCAAAGGCAAGAACTACTATTGAAACGGAGTTACAGAAGGTAATGCAGAGATAGCATAGAAACTTAAATCTTCCATATTGATAATTCATTACATGAGGAGAAGCCACATAATAATTTTCTTTCAAAACAATTTGCCATGACTCATCGGAAAAAGTCATCACTGCCTCACTATCCTGGTTTTGTCACCATTCTAGCGTGGATTGGTTTTCTTCCTGAAGGCTCAAAACCCTAATCAAAATAAGCATGGAATTGTGCATGGCTTTAGTTTTATGCTCATGATGCCAAATTGGATGATCGAGAAAGCATGTGTAGTAGTGGATGCAAGCTTAATATATGCATAGACAGCGTAAAGGTCATTTATACTATCATCTAATCCATTCTAATTACAAAACTTCTGGTTGGTTGACACAGACGCAACACACCAATTGAACTATTTAATCAGTACCAAAACCGAAGATAATTTTCAACCTGATGATATCCAATCTAACTGTTTCAGACGAATATCTCACTTTATTGTACAAGAGAGTAAAACCTCATTGGGTATTGCTAGAAAACTGGGAGGACTGCCAAAATAACAGCAACTTTGAATCACTGGATAACATTAGTAAAAAACCTGAATTGTCATTGATGTCAAAGGTTCCAGCATCGTGGAAAACCAATCGAAGCACCCCAGCTGCCTTTCCCTTAGACAACACCTTCCTCACCTCTTCTTTAATGAGAAGATATTCCTTTGCACCTGCCCTTCAATGACCACAACGCATTCAAGACATGAGTGTAATATTGTGATTGCGAACATTTTCGTGCGCAACATCCAAAGTCATTATATACATACTTACTGCAAGGCGTTGGCTGGGAGACAACCTATGAGAGGAAGAAGACATGGCCACGTGACTATGCATATCAGCTGTCTCCTGCTGCTACTAGAAACCGCTAAATCTACGATATAGAGTTACCGGGTTGAGAAATTGTGAAGTATAAACGAAATAACAACCTTGTCCGAGAGAGTTTTTGGGTTCAAGGTTGTTGTCTCACTCACCGGAAGAACCATCGCCGGGGCGGAACTTGACGGCTGAGAAAGACGAACGTTGGGATTTGGCGGGAAAATGGGTTTTGGACTCGCCTGAAACGGTGCCGATTGAGCACCGCACAACGTGCTTACTCACACCTAATCTCATTATCTCTGCCCAACGCCACACACTCAAACGCGCTTCTTTATTTCACTTCCTCCTCGCTTATTTCTTTTACACTTTCATTGTTTTGATATCAAAATTAACATTACACTAATCTGCTGTAGATAATCTTTTCTTTTTCTATTTTTTATAAAAATAAATCTCAACAATATGTTTTAAAATTAAAAATAAATATTAATTATTATTATCGAATTTTTATACTTACAAATCAGTTTCTTCTCCTTTACGAATAATAATAAACTTTTTTGTTTTTTACCATCCATTCTGTTGCACTCATTTATATTTATGTTTTTTTCTATTTATATAGATAGATACAGTGTGGGACGACGAAGCTGCATAAAACTTTAAATATTTATATTATATTTTGTTTTCTAAATATAAAAGTTTCCCAATATCAGAATAACAGAATATTTTTAAAATAATCAGTGGTAGAAAAAAATAGAAGAATATTTTCTAAATAGGAAATAGAAATATTTACACTGTGTTGTGACTGGAAAGGGACGATTATTTTTTATTTGTAAAACAATAGGATGACTAGATACGATGTCTACAGTCGTAGGATGAAGTTTAGTACTTTGATTGTCTTTTTTTGTAAGTATTGTTTTACTGTTTGGGATTAAAACTTCAATGGATTTTGAAAACTACGTTATAGGCTATGACGGTGATGATCGAAAAGGAATCTGTTTTGAAGTGAGAAAAGTTATAAATGTATAAAAGATGAAGAAGAGATGGAGGGTGATATTACAAAATTTGAGGAAGTTGAAGAAAATGTACAAGAGGAATGGCTCTGGTGCATTAGATAGTAATATAGTGAAGAACACAAGAGAGAGAAAAGATGGAGGAAGGAAGTGTTATCTAGGCCCTGAAAGACGAACAGCAGAGAGGTAAGCATCACTGTTACAGTCTGAGGGAGCAGAAGAGGTGGTGGCTCCTCCTTCACTGGAGGATTTGAAGACAGCGGAATAAAGGCGAGAACCCAAGAAAGAAGTGGTTGGTGGGTTAGGAACAGTGCAAAGACCCTCCAACATTTGAACAACTCTACTCATAGATGGCCTCATTGACATGTCTTCCTGTATGCACCACAATGCAACTTTTATAGCACATTGAAACCTCTCATCGTTCTCGTCGATTCTCAACACCGAGTCAAATATATCCCTCACCTTCCCTTCTTCCATCATTTTAAAGGCAAAAGTTGGGAAATGGGATTTCTCTGAAGACTCATTAGGATCATAGTTTTTCCTTCCTCCGATTATCTCCAACAGCACCATCCCGTAGCTGTAAACATCACTTTTCTCTGATATAGCGTAGTTTGTTATCCACTCCGGCGCAAGATAGCCCCTCGTGCCCCTCAGTGTTGTGAAAACATGGCTTTGTTCTCGATTCATCAGCTTCGCCAGCCCAAAATCCGAAACCTTCGCCATGAAGTGTTCGTCCAGAAGAACGTTTTCTGGTTTGATGTCACAATGAACAATCTTCGAGTCACAATCTTCGTGCAGATAAGCAAGTCCTTTTGCTGTTCCCAGAGCTATATTGAACCTAGTATCCCAATCCAACTGAAACTCACCTTTGTTTTTCTTGAATATCCATTTATCCAAGGAGCCATTAGGCATGTACTCGTAAGCAAGCATCCTATGAGATCCATCAGCACAGAAACCCTTTAGCCTAACCAAATGGAGGTGATGAATGCTGCCAATGATGCTAACTTCGGCCCTGAACTCTTTCTTTCCTTGTCCAATACTTTCCAATTTCTTCACTGCTATTTGAGTTCCATCTGCTAGAACTCCCTTATACACTGACCCAAAACCCCCTTGCCCAAGCTTCACAGAAAAGTTATTGGTGGCAGTTTCAAGGTCCTTGTAGCTGTAACGGATTGGCATACCGGTTAAATTTTCCAAGAAATTTGCCTCTTCTGAGCCATCTGAAGGAGACTCGGGCACCCTTTGCTTTCTTCTTTGGTATCTAACTCCCCAAAAGACAAGACCACAAATGACAAAAAAGCTTACTAAGACAATTATCACAACAACTACGGTGTGCTTATTGCCACTTCCACCGCCCCCAGAACCCGAGCCAGAACCTCCTTCATTCGAGACCTTGATATAAGAAACATAACCAGGATCAGAATCAGATTTCTGAAAGCTTCCTACACTGTCCAACAAGAAACAATTCCCCGAACTTCTCTGGAAGAACATAGCAAGGCAAGAACAGTTTCCACGGCAAGATGTTTGGCAACCAGCCAGATCGGTTTTGGAAAACGGTTGAAGGAATTGAAGAGCAAAGTAATGAAGTCCATCATCAGCTTTAACCAACTGAATGGATTTTCCTGAGTCACCACCACAAGGAGAGTCAAAACCAGGTTTGCAACTGGGAATAATAGAAGGGCAGCTACACCTCTTGTTACCCGTGCATATGGAATATGCATCACAAGGTTCTGGAGTACCGCAAGAATCTTCGGGAATTGTTTCAGAAGCAGCATTTGACCCTCCACTGCCGAGGGTGGAGAAGGTGATGAAGCCATCACTCCCCAAAACAGCAATCCAAGTCGAATTTGAGTCTTGACCTGAAGAGAAAATGAACTGCGACAACAGCGATTTTCTCTTGTCATAGAACTTCCACGAGTTTCCACTAATGCTTGCTGAAGCAACTTCATCGCCGCCCTGGTTGATGGTTCTGCGGCTGTCCGTCTGCATAGTCCAATAAGGCTGCGGAGTTTGAAAACTTGCGGAGAGAACAACAATACCAGACTTGATCTCAAGAATATGGGTCAAGTGGTTCGTGCTAGGATTACTGACGAGTTTCATTCCCTCTGTGAATTCCTGAGTTGGAAGCAAAGTATCTGTTGGATGGCCGAAACTTTGCCAAATCACTGTACTATTATCACTCCCAAGCAAGACCAAATTCCCAGTGTCACGCAATTCCATTGAAGAAACCCCTTTGCCGCCTGTGTTCGTGGACCAGACCACGGTTCCATCTTTCTGCAAGAAGGCGTTGCCCTTGTCATCAAACACAAAGTTGTCGGAATTAGCAACAGGAACTGCTCTATTAGCACTCCAAACGACCCGGGAAGCTCTCACGTGGATGATTGAGAGTAGAAACAAGGTGGTGTCATTCGCTGTGGTGACAAAGCCAAAGGAAAATTCTCCATCGTTTGATACGAGGAATTGGCCATTTCTGTCAATCCAATTCATTTGAGAACCCTTTATCCCCCCGGCTGAGATCCTTCCGGTATATTGATTCGCAGCTAAACAAACTTTGCACAAAAGGAAAAGGGTGCCCACAATATGCAATAAAGACCAATCTTTTCCCATGCTCACCCAACAGCGAATGGAAATCAAACGAACAGGTAAGAAATAAAATTCATCTGAAAGAAAATGCAAAAGAAAAAAATCTAACCGTAGCAATACGAGCCCAACAACCCAGAATAGAATAAGAAGTAAAGATAAGATCTTTCTAGCGGTTTTATCTTTAATTCAATGCTACATCAAGGTCATCCAAGATAAGGAGAAAGAAGAAATGAGAGAAGATGAACAGCGCAAAAGGGGTAAGAAGAATAGAGGATTGACCAACCAAGAAAAATAAAAGATGAATTTTAATACAATGAATAGTGATTTAACACGTGAGAAAACGGAGTGTGAGCATTGAGTAAAAGGGTGATTGAAAAGGAAGTGTGCAACGGAAGGGTGGATACGGCACGGCGGGTTTGTGGTTATGGAGGAGCAGAGAAAGAAGAGAAGAGAGTAGAAGAAAAAGTCAACAATGACAACTGGAGAAAGTACTCATGGTCTGACCATGAGTCTATCTGGCACGTGAAAAGAGATAGATAAATAGATAGAAAGATGAGATTGCAACGATGGGGTGGGGTGGAAGCAGAACAACAGTGACTTGTTACTGATAGCAATGAATGAACGAAGGTGGTGTTGTGTGTGTTTGTATTTGTATATTTTGTATATGCAGTTTGATGGATGAAATGGTTTCAGACTCTAGATCTCACGTTGGTTGCCTCTGTACTTTACAGCTAATTCTGGTTTTGAACGTCAAAAGCATTTAAGGAAGGTGTCTTCTTCCTTTTTAAATTCATTTTTCTAGGATTCATGGATTTACCCATTATTTCATAACAATCACTCCACACCAAATAAATAAATGAGTTAAATATGATTTTAATTTTTGAATTATTAGTTTTAGTTTTTGAAAATTACCACATTTTTAGCAGTGTTAGTTTTCGAGGATTAAAACCAAAATTTTGAAAAAAATAAAAATCAAATTATACCTTATTTTGAAAGAGGAATAAAAACCAAAAACGACCAATTTAGAGACTAAAAACATATAAACAAATAAATAAATATAAGAAATTTATAACTCTAAATACTAAAGATAATAACTTTTAACCTATTTCTAACTTTTTATTAACAAATTTTAATAATCTCTTTTCTTCTTTTTTTGGCCAAGATAACTTTTGCTTTGAAGAAAAAAAAATAATACAAGTGAAAATTCATCATAAAAATATTAATTTTAGATAAAAATCAGAGTTTTAATTTAAAAATAAAGAAAATTCTTTCTCAAAAATACAAATGCATGTATAACTCGTGTCTATATTAATTTTTTATACTTCTATATATAAGCATACAAATTTAATAAAACCTACAAATTTAAGAATAGAACTCAAAAACACATAAAAATAATAAAAAATAAAAATTACACATTCAGGTTTTTTAGTTTTGTAAAATTAAAATAAAATTATAAATTTTTTAATTTTTTAAACTATTCTTTAATTTTATTTATGATCTTCATATTTTTCTGAATTTTCTCTTTCATCAAATATAATAAGATTTAAGAAAACATTATATTGGACCTTGTGATATAAATAATTTGAATTACTAAGAGGTTTTTTCCTCAAGTTTTTCTCTTGTTCTTCAACTTAAAAAAATATTTTTTTCATGGTTAACAGGACAATGATTAATAATTTATAAATGAAAAAAATATTAAAAATAGGCATAGTTATCTCGTAAGTTTCATTATTTATTTGTTTACTTAGGTATGTAATTAATGAAAAACTAATTAAAACTTTAATTTTTAACAGACTAACTGTATAATATTTCTTTTATCCAAAAGATAACAAATAAATAGTAATGACGTTTATTTTGCAATAATGTAATTTATTACAAATTTATAGTGATGATTTATTAAACTGTCAACTTCAGTTCCAACTGAAAGGATAGTTACATTATTGTTTTTGAATGATTAAAAATTAATTAAACCTTAAAATGGTTAGAATTTTATTGAACTTTTATTTAAGAAAAATATATATGCGATGGAAAATGTTTTTTAAGTTTATTACATATATTATTTTTATTTTATTTATTATCTTTAATTAATTTTATTATTATTTTTTATTTGTATTTTTAGCTTAGTCTATATTTCTTTTATTATAAATAAAGGACCATATGTATATATTCAACACAAGGAGATTGATTTTATTTATGGTTTTTTCACTGTATTCAACATGGTATGCAGAGTCGGGTTCTTTTGAGAAAAAAAATTTTGGTGACTCTATCATTACATGTGTCACTGCTGGTGGTGGCGCCATCTACCATCGGCGGCGCCATCCTCTATGTTACTGTTTACCGTTGTCATTATCGGAGTTCAAGTTTTGACCGATGATCACATGGTTTTGATCGTCTTTGTCAAGCAACAATCATGTCATTAATAAAGTCTTCATCGGAGCTTTACATGTTCTCAAGGCCTTTTCAAATTATGGATTTACTCTCTTTTTTGTTGTGCATGGTGACATGTCTAATAGTAATTCAGAGCGTTGAGGTTGCTCGTTTTTCGCTTTCAGGTTTATTGTGCGTTATTGCACATCCAATTTACTCTCAGGCAGGTGTCTTGATTGGAGAATCTTGAATTTTTATAGTTTCTCTATCCTGTTCATCCATGGATTCTTCCATTGTCGTCTCTTCTGACCTCCCTTTTATCACCATTGTTTTTGACTCGTTCATATATGTTTTTTTTCCCATGGAAAAAATGGTTTTTGTTAGTTTATTTATAGTCGTTATGGCTCTTCAACAATGACCTCTTTATCCACTGAATGTCAAGAATGCATTCCTCAATGACGATTTGCAAGAAAAATTTTACATGGAGCAACTTCCCAAATTTGTTGCTCATGGAAAGTCTTTTGGGTTGGTATTTCGTCTTTTATGTCGTCTTGCAAATCGTTAACAATTTAGTGTCACTCGAGTGCAGAAGAAAATATTTTCACTAAGACTTGATGGATTATATTAGTAACAAGCTTAGTGTATATGTAAGTATTAGTTTGAGGGAGAGTGTTAGATATATTATCTTTATTTTATATTAATCTTTTATTTTTAATTAGTTTGTTATTATTTTTTATTTGTATTTTGGACTTAACTCATATTATTTTTATTATAAATAAAGAATTTTATGTATATATTTAACACATTGAAAATTAATCTTATTAATTTTTCACTTTATTCAACAAAGTTAATAATTTATCATTATATTCAAGAAAGTTAATAGTTTTTCACTGTATTAAACAAAACTAACAACTTTACTAGTGATTCTTTAATCTTCATCATTTTTCTTCCTCTAATTGTACTCTTATGAAATCAGCGTTGAAAAAAAGTACCAAGCCTTTGAAAAAATGCGGGAAGCCGGATGTTTGTAATAAATATTCCAATAATTAACAAAATGTAAGAGAATAAAAATAGATCATTAAATTCCTCATTATATTAAAAGTGTTATCAAACAGGGTAAATTAACTTTAATTGTGTGTTATATATCATTTGATATACACACATCTTCACATCTCAAGATTTAAAAGTAGTATTGATTATAGTTTATGCATTTTCATTAACACGTGTTAGTGACACCAATTTGTGATACATCATTCATACGTATGCATTAGCCAATAAAAACGTTGGAATAATCAGTTGTCGTATTTTATTATTAAAAATGCAAAAGAATCCCAAAACATGCACTGTTTGGACACAGTATTGTAACGCAACCTGCTTTCTAACTTTATTTATTTATTTATTTTCTCTCTCTTTCCGTTTACTGTAATTGCAATTTATTGCTACCGTTTGGTTGGTGTTGAAAGACTGCGGGACCCGAAAGATAATGTTAAATTAAGCCATGAGTCATGTAAGATGGTTGTTTTAATTGTACTATAGTTTAAAAGCTCAAATTTCTGATAATAAAATGTTTTTATTATTAATTTGAACCAGCAAAATAGTATTGCATTACTTTTATATTAGGTTTTATTTATTTTAGAACGAAGCTTTGTGACTGCACTAGTATGATAATTTGGTCTAGAATTAGCTTCTGGAATCTGAGGTTCAAATCACTGATTTGAGTTATGTCGTAGGTTAGAAAGATCCTTTGACTCCATCGAAAACTTGTACCAAAAAAAGTTAATTAATTAATTGATTAGGTACTAAGCACGCCAAAAGAAAATGATAACCAAATAACCCACCAGGAGAGCGAGTGGTTAAATCGATCGACTATTAGATCTGTGATTTCACCATAACTATTATTATTATTATTATTATTATTATTATTAGTGTAATCTAATTACAAAGAAGAATAACACAAGAGATAGGAGCAATTTTTAAATAATTTTTTTACGCCATGTTGAAATACTTTTCTAAAGTGGTAATATTAATCATTAATATAGCAGTAAAATTCAGACCTTTTCTTCGGCGTTCGGTAGAATTATGGAACAAATTTCTACCACAACTCTACTAAATAAATATTCTTGTTATATTGACTAACGTTGTAGTACTAGTTAGGTACATCATATTCTCGAGAATTGTGACTATAATAAATATCCTTAAAAATATTAGACAAGTTGCCATGATGTAGCACTGTTGCTTGGTATTTATATATTGATGATAATAATGAGGGTCTATCGGTTTAAGCAAAGTAGTAAACAACAATAAATCCCACGCAGAGTTTTTCAAATTTAAAAAGTGATGACGTTTTATAAAACTACGACTATGTTTGAATTATTGTTTGGTTATTACACTCCGATAAAATATTCTAATACATGAATTGGTATTGAATATGCATTAAAATTAGAAAGTGAGATCAACCTAAAACCAAACGCGCACTAAGAAAATTTAATGCACTAAATTAAATATTTACTAGGTATTTCAAGTAAATATAAATTTAATGCGCATCACTTTTACTTACACCGCCAAAATTGGAAAAAAATGTACAAACATATCTTATAATTTTGGTAACTGAGCTATTGAATATTTTTATATGGATCGGATCCTTTCACGAGGCTCCACATTAATCTTTAATGCCCATTTTTTTAAAAGAATCGATGATTTAATTTTTCTTAACCGAAGAATGTGCTTGAGTTTATGTGAATAATTTTCTATTAATCTCAATATTTTGTGAATGTTGCTAGTCTCAAGAACCTTCTAGATCTTGTTTGCGTGCTTAAAATTAAAGTAAGTAATGTGAGATATTTGAAAACAGTGTAACTTTCTGTAAATGATTATATATATATAATTTCAAGATTTTTATTTTAATTTTTATCAAATGTGTTATTAAAGTTGGTCCAGCAAAAGATACCAAAGTTACCTACGACCAACGTTTAAAAATGACCTCATCATTAGATAGGATAAGGGGACAACATTAAATCACCAAACAAACACGTCACGTGCCGTTTTTTTATCTTTAGCCGGTTTTATCATCTTAAAAGTTTTCTTTAAGTAGTCTTTTAAAAAACTTACTTTTGAGTGTAAATTAACTTTATCTTACAAAATCATTTTTTAAAAATTATATATTTCTTACTATAAACTCATAGATGATGATCAGATAAGGTGTCAAAATAGTTAAAAAAGATTGAAAGGACAAGCGATTGACATGTCAGAAAACATCTCATGATCTTTTAGTCTCGATAACCGTTGAACAAAATTAAAACGTAATTAATGTCATAACAATTACTGTTAAACAGTTAAAGTTTACATTATAAATATCG